CCTCATTTATCTTGATTTTAGGGGCTCATTGCGTGTTTGTTAAGAAATACAGTCGAACCTCTCCATAACGGCCACTCTGGAGACAGAACTGGAGAGAAATTGCCGTTGTAGAGAGGTTTAAACAAGAGTCAATGTATGGATTGTCCCTCGGAAGAAAGTTGCCGTTGTGGAGCCGAGGTGACCCGTCAGTTGAGGTTCGACTGTACTGAAATAAGGGCTACGATCCCGGGGGGGGGGGGTACTCCCTGACAAGAGGTTAATAGGGATGTGCTGCTGGATGGGGTCGCATTTTCACGACTGGAGTGACTATAATGGGGTCGGAAATTTTCGGATTTTGGGGGTAATTAGGGATTCAAAATGGAAAGATTCTGGGTTAAAAAATCAGAAAGTTGTTGTTTATTAGATGTAACAATAAGCTCGCATTGACCGCATTACATTCCGCCGCTTGAAACCACATTGATAAGGTAAATGTATAAATAAAAATTGACTAAGTTGGGATTGCGAAAATTACATTTTCCAAGAAGTGAATAAGATGGGGTCTATAGTTAGCCAAAAAATAGACTATAATGGGGTAGGGGCCCTGAGAGGCCAGCAGCACATACCCAGCAAACATTAACCCAAGTACTTCCCCCCCCCCGGGGGGGGCTACAATGCGCCAACTTTTTGCCGGAAGTTTCGTGTTAACAGTTGAGAGCCTCTCATTTATTGGACATCTATAGCTAGTATTTGTCTACATGTGAAATACATTGGGGGTTTTAAATTAGGGCCTGTTTACATGGAGGTTTGGGATCCCAAATAGGTGAGGTAACAAGTGGCGGGTCGCCCCACCTATCATGTAAACGCGATCAAATTTAAATGAGAGATTATGTGGACAGGCGGGTTTGTAAGATTGCATATGTAAACGAGGGTTATGTTTTTACCCCACCTAACCGGGTTACCTCACCTACCTGGGGTTCCCGACCTCCATGTAAACAGGCCATTAAGGGCCACCCCGGGGTGCTCATTCTCAAGATTATTTAATGGTCGCTAAGCACGTAAACAAGAAAAATGCTAGCAAACCACGTGTTTTGGTGATTAATACTCTTCCATATACACTCACTTGCTGCTCTTGCTGCAACCTTCAGTGCTACGCAGGCTTTCTATTGTTACCTTTTAATGATGCAAAGCCACCGCCAAAGTGGATTTTGCGCGAATTCGATGTATCACGAATCCGACCCCGGTTAGGCGGGTTACCCCACCTTGAAGCGTTTACATGGCAAACTTTGGCCCCGGCTGAGAGGGTTACCCGGTCGGGCAGGCCGGGCTACCCGCCTTGGCGGACCACCTATCATGTAAACGTGATCAAATTAAAATGAGAGATTATATGGACAGGCGGGTTACCCCACCTAAACGGGTTACCTCACCTTCCTGGGGTCCCCACCTCCATGTAAACAGGCCCTAAAATTAAAGCGTGGACTGTAATTAACCATAATTACCTTTAGTCGGCGGGACACCTTCGGAAGTCTCAAAGACAATTTTATGTCCAAGAATCCCGGGGGTACTCCTGGCCATGGGAATTCTTGGTAGGGGTATGCCGCCCTGTTTTCCAGTTTCTGACCTTATTTCAGACCAACAAAATTTAATTTTCCACACCAGTTTTCAGACCAGACCTCTAAAATCCATGCCCGTTTTTAGACCTGGCCTATTGGCAGAAATTATGTTATCATTACCTAGATTAGAGCGCAAACAAAAAATTCTTCAAATCCATTTCGAATTCGCATATTTCTCTTTCTTTCTTACTCATTTGTAATTGAAACGATAAATACGTTCATACACTCCCGTAGTTCCCTCAAAAACCACACCCAATTCCAGAACAAACTGGGCAAAATCTATACCCGTTTTCAGACCAAAAAGGAGCAAAAACCTACCCGATGGGGTGGCACATACCTAGTATCTTATATAAGGGAGTATTCCCCCACCCCCCCTCTGGCCAGAAATTCAGCGCAGATACAAAACTTAACGAGCTTGCACTGCAGAGGGGTAAACTTGGTAGACTGTAGTGTGTTATGTATTGAGCGGAATTCTAAAAGAGCTGTTATACAAAAAGATATAAGGCGTTAATTTCAGGAGCGAGAGAGGGTAGGAGAGAGAACTTGGGAACGAGGTTGGGATGACAGATTTTGCTCATATATTTAAACAATTATATCTTGCAGGTAAACTTTAAATTGAAAAATCAGCTTGATACGTGACACACCAGAGGTTTTGACCCATAATTTATTAATAAAATCACAGAGTGCTGTCTTCCAGTACTCTTTCCGCAAACTTGGACACAAAATCACGATTTCACACTTGTGGTACAACTCAGTGGCTTAAGGCATTGCTGTGGAGCGCGATCTACGAAATAAAAAAAAAACGACTCCCCTATGCTTCGATTACTCACAATGTCTCTGTAAATTTTATCTAGATCCGGCCGGCCCCTAAAACAGCTGAGATATAAGCGTTTTAAAAGATGTACTCACAAGCAAAATTTTGCCGGTTATGAATTCCTAGATAGGTGTCCCCGAAGGGTTGCCTTAACAGCAGAAAGGGGACCAACTGTTCCACGTGCTCGGCCGTGTTTGGTCCGTTTTCATTCTTGTATTAAATTAAAGTATGTAGAAATTGCGGAAGAGTTACAGCCTACATGTACAAAACATGTCACATTTGTTGAATCATGTTTTACCATTTGCAAAAAACGGCAAGTCTAAACATTGGTAACTAGGAGGACGAGTACCACAGTGAAAAGTTAGATCAATTGACTAGGAGTGACATTTTAAGACGCATATAGAAAACCCTCAATTTTTATCTTGAACTACTTGCAGTGTTTCGACAAAATTTGATTAGTATCTTTCATTTTAGGCCAACGTATATGTATTTCATCAGCATTATTGGGAATTAGATGTTTTTGATGGCCAAGATGTTCTATTGGACATCAGGCACGTAGCTAAAATAAATTATTGCGAAACGCGGAATAATTATATTCAAATTTTTGTAAAACTTGTCGAAATGCAATAGGCCAGTTTTCGAATAATTCGTGGGTCGATGTTTATTCCTCATTATTAGTAAAGTGAAAGTTAATATCACAAATTAATCAATTGTAGCTAAATCGCCTACATACTGCATTGAAATTTCTCTTTTTGAGTTCAAAATTGTCATTTGTTTCATGATATTTAGACACCGTATTGTTGTCTGTTTTTGTCTAGGAAAGCCGCGCGGCAGGTGATCATCACTGTCATCTTTTATGTTTCACCAAATTGGAAATTAATTCGGTCATGGCGCGTTATTAAGCGAAGGATCGCGCAACTAGGAATGTAGCCGTAGAGAATTTTGCAAAATGTTTAGAAAAATTATCAAAATTTACAAAAGGTTGTACGCGGATCATGTACAGAAATTAATTTGAATCCGAGATCAGAAGTCAGCATCACTGGTTGCAACTCCTGCGAACAGATTTTTTTATCCTCAGAGTTGCGGGCGTTATTTTGCCTACGATAGCTCTGTTGACTATTTTACCACTTTGTTTTGTTTTGTTTTTTTTTTATTGGTCATGAACCCATTCTGTATGGGTATACTTCCAGTCAGTGATTAAACAAACTCGAGTTAAATAGAGCAACTCCAGTCTGCAGTAGTGTGAAGACCAGACTTTTGCCACAGTAGGAATTTATCTATTTATCTACCACGCATCATTCTCTTTTATTGTGTTCTCCTTTTTGTAGGTTACTTGTTAATCTCTGTGTCGGTCGTGTCAAAAAATAAAATTAAGTCTTTTATTTACAACTTTATTTTAAGCTAGATATACTTGACTTTCTAAAGACGCTTTTCAGCAGGTTAATAATCTTAAAGTGCTTATTTATTTGTAAACACCTTTCGCTCTCTCGATGGTTGTGTTGCGTTTTTTGTCAGTTCCTAGTGACCTTTGTTACTGCAGGGAAGGTTAGTAGGGCATACTTTTGTCGGTGCTGGATGTGCAAAAGTCTCAGTTTGACTACAAGTAAAACGCCTCCTTGAGCTAAGTTCCTGAGCACGCGCGCTGTTTCACCTATTATTGATTTAATCAGCAAATATTAACTCACAGTTCATATCACTTAAAGAAAAAACAATGTACATAGATGCTTGTAAGAGGTCAGACGGTTTCATTATTTTTCAATAGAGAAGCAATCAAAGAGCGGTTCACTTCTTTAATGCTTGAATGATCACATATAGTTGTTGCTTGGCGGTTTTTTACCTTGAAGTTTCTTTCAATGTTAACCCGCCAAAATTCTGCCAGCCCGTGATAGCCTGAATTCGATTTCCTGATTGAAATTATGTATCTCAGGGACACCCGATGGAAACAATATAACACGAACCGAAAAAAACAGCTGCTTTCAATAATAATCAAACGAATATGAATATTTATAAATTACCTTTATATATCTCGCCCCTGTTTGTGAGGTAATTTGGTAGAAATAGTTTATCTTAACTTCAAGTCCTTGTCTATTTAGATTTCATGACTGGCAAAAAAGATAAATAATAACAAACTAGTCACAAGTGAAAAACGTAAAACTCTTGAACTAAAAGAACTCTTGATAGCGATACAGCAGGTAGGGATGGTTTCACCATTTAATTTTTTGTCTCAAGTTTGGTTTTGACGGGTAGTTCTTTTCTGTTTGTCCAGCTTTCCCGATTTTAAGTCTTTGTTCTTTACTCTTCTATGATTGGCTAATAAGCTGTCCTGATCACTTGCTTCGCGCATGGCCAATAGGATCCGTGAAGTTCAGAGTCGCTCTCTCTCTCAAGCCACATGGCTGAATGGTAAAGAAAAGGTGGAAATTGGCTGGGAATTTTCGACTGTCTGTTTTTAGAAGAGGAAAGGAAACCTTCGCGGACGCAATCTGAGACTATCTACTCCTCGTGTGTGGGGTTCAGGTTTGTTCGTCGGCTGAAGGTTGCCTTGGGGAACAGTTTGAATAGGCGGACTAAACTAACACGTTCACTTCTTTCGTATTATGACTGAAGTCGAAAGCGTTCCTAAGGCGAAACTCGATATCGGTGAGGATGAAAGTCACATCACAAACAGTTGTAAAAATGCCATAGACCACGTAGACGTCGATAACTGCACTGCGGAAAAAGACGAAGACGAAAATGTGAGCGAAAACACGTCGGAGAACGAGAAGAATCACCATGACTCGGCCGCAGCACCTCCCCCGCCGAAAAATCCTTGGACAAGACACTTAAAAAGCAAGGGCGAGAAAGGTACTGGCCTTTAGCGGAGGTTATATTTATAACCAGATTAAACAGCTGTTTTTGAACCAAACTGTCTGTTTTTCTTTCAGAGGAGACGGAAAAACCAACTGTTGTGAAAGCCGCTAAACGCAAGGGAAAGGTATCTACTGACGGGCATGGGGTAGGGAGTGTTGTGTTGTAGTTGGAATTTCAACGGGTCGGCATCTCATGTGGTGTACGTATTTTATTTAGGGCAGTGAATTCACTGATATAACCAACTGGCCAACTCCTGGTGAATCCACAGCAACTAATAAAGATGCAAAGGTACAGAAAAGTAATTTCCTGCTCTAAATTGTTTTAGCGCACGGTGATTGTGCATTTCGTATCGTTTGTTCTTGTATGGTTGTATGTATACGCAACACCTTTGTTAACTTCTTTTCTAATAAGATTTTGTTGTTTGTTTTGTAGCCCACTGCTAGCAAAAAGGAAAATGCCGAAAACGAACTTTCAGAAGACGAAAACTCAAAAACTACGCCAAGAAAGAAAGGTGCGTAAATTTGTTTCTTGTGAAATGTTCTTGTATAAACACGATGTTATCCGGCAATCTTCGTTAAAACAACAACCTGTCGATTATGTTACCATAATATATGCCTTTCATGCTGCCGTATAAATGGTTTGTGTCTCTGAAATTTTGCATCGTTTAATTGGGTACAGAGTCGGTTACTGTTTTTTGGACGATTAAGTTCTTTTGTACCCATTGAACATCGCGCGTAATAATAATGTAAAATGATGTATCTTTTGGACACAACGCCATTTGTACATTTGTTTCATCTACCAGATTCAAATGTTTTAGTTCCATTTTATAAGAAGAAAAATGGTCTTCTTTTTGAAATATATATAATATATATTTGTAAACGAGAATAAATTATTCAATGAATCACAGGAAGTGGTTGTACACGTGCAAAATAGCTGACTTTGCATCACACTTTTTTTGGCAAGGGAATATGGATATGGGTCTTGTTCTCCTAAATCCCGTTACATTTTGCCCAAAGTAAGAAGTATTTTATTTGCTCAATGCAGTAGCAGTTCAAATTATGAATGCAAAGCAGTATAAAATTAATGTTGTGTATTGATGAAGACAAAACAAATTGATTTACTATTCCTTCAGTCAGTATGAGTCACCACATTATAAAAATGTGGAACACAGTCAATACAAGGAACCTTTTTTTTTAATGTGTGACTGACTTTAGAAAAATTTCCTTGATTCTGTGCTAATTACTGGTGGTGAAAATACAGACTTGTTGCAATGACTGGCCAAAGAAATATTTGTTTCTGACTGTTCAAAATGTTAAAAAAAGTTAACTAATGACAGCCCATAAACTCAAAACCACTATTTGTTTGTTCTAGCTCTTGCTAGACTGTTAACAAAGTGGCACAATGGTCAAAACCGTGAGTTAAGTTTTTGGCCAGTGAAGTCACTATTCTGGCTTTGCTTTTTAGAAGAGTTTACTTGGTATTTAGATCCAGTCATTAATATCACTTTGCTATGCTTGGTTTGCAACCACAAGACAAAGTAGTTGGTTAACAAAACAATCCATTTTTCGCAGAATTTTCATAAAAAATAGTTTGTTTCTTAATTGAGAAAAATGCTTTTGTTCTTGTGAACCAAAATGGTCACTGCTGCAAACCATTGATTAAGAGGCTGTATACGTAATGGAACTCTTTATTTAACATAAGGTGACATAACATACTAAGTTTATTCAAGACATTGGAATAAAAAGAAAACTAAACCAAAATCTCAAAACCGAAACAGGAGGCCACCCTATAAGGTTCCTTAAAATAAATAAATAAAAAACATATTTATTTGTACATGTAATTAGGTCATAGTGTCAATAAAAACTACTGAATTACTCAAATTTATCTTTTATAAAATCCCTCTATCTTCACATTTTTTAAAATCTTGCCTCAAAAAGTCTCAAAGTTCCTGCTTTTAACCACCTGCTGCAATAGGTTAATTCAGGCAAAAGTGATGCACACAATGAAATGAACTTTTGTGGGAATTACTCTTTGTACTTTAAATGAATAATAAATTATTAAATTCTAAAGAAAAAGAAACAAAAGCAAAAACACGTAAAACAAAATGTAAAACATCAAACCATTGTTGTAAGAGAGTGAAAAGGGTGCATCTAGATGTTTTTACTGTTATCAACTGCAAGGGAATTGGTAATCATGACTATTGACATGTATTTTTGCTGACCAATTTTTTATTTCTTCAGTAGTGAAAAAAAAACATACTAGGCAAGGACTGAATTCGACCTTGTTAACTTTGTATTAGTAGTAGTGGCTCTTTTCATGTGAAGAGTAATAGTGTACACTTAAACTGGCATGTTGTCTTTGCTTTGTTTTGAGTGACATTTCCAAGGTGGATTTTAGTTTTGAGCTGACACTTACAATGATAATGGAATTAGGGAAATATTTGTTCTTCATGTTGGTTTCCTGGTTACCATGAAGATTGTATTAGTGATTCCCATTATCTTGAATTATCCCTTAACATGATTGCTTAGAAAATTGTGACTTGGTTCATTTAGTTTCTGTAATGCTTAATATACCAAATAGTTCTTTTCTAGTGTCTTGTTTTTTCTGTGTTTGTACTTCCTTTCTGATAAGCTGCAAAAGTATTGGTAATTTATGCAGAATTTCCTGAAGGTCACATTCTCTAAAAAAATGAGTGCAAATTATGATGATTTCTCCAGTGTATATTTTGTGTATAATATACAACTATCCCCCAAAGGGGAGGTGAATAGTGGTGGCTATATACTGAGACGCGAAGCGTCAAATTACATTTCTAGTGATATGAACCAACCCTGTGGGTGATAGTTGTATATTATACACAAAATATACACTGTTAAAGCAGTGTCACTTTTTATCTTTGAATTTAAAACAGTACAAGCAGTTACTTAAACAAGAGGCAAATCTAATGCATCAGGATCTCTTGATACACAGTTATCCAATGGTGACTGTCTTGAGTACTTGAATTTTACTGTTTTAAAATACTCCTCCTGATCGTTAGTAATTTACCAAAGCCTTCTTTATAACCACATACTGAAGAAAATGAACAAAAGAATCTTCCCCCCTAGGTGCCGTCATAAGGAATTAAAAAAAATGTCCATTGTTTTCTTTTCACTTTTTAGTCGTGAAGGAAGTTTTTTAAAAGTGTTTTATCTTTACAATGATGCAGGTGGTCGTCCAAAGTGGGTTCCATTGAATCTTGAGGGAACAGAAGGTGGTGCAGAAAATTCAAACAATGATGTCAACCCAGATAAATCTCCAACATCTCCAGAAGCTGCTTCACCTAGTACCAAGGGGACAAGGTCACCCATTAACCGGCAGAGCCCAGGGGGCATGTCAGGAAATATATCCCCTAGTAGAGGGGGTAGGGGTGGACGTGGAGGACGAGGTGGCCGTGGTGGAAGGGGACGTCGAATGCCAAGAGGTGAACTACTTTATTGTTAGCTTACAAGACCATACGTGCTCCTAGGTGTTTTGTGTTTAAATAAACTTGCTTGGTTAATTGCAATTGTTTTTTGAGTTATCACCTTAATCTTGAAATTAAATACCTGCTCAAAAATTTAGTGCAGAAAGTGGTTAATAATAATATGGCTAGATGAAAAAGTTGTGGCACCAGTTTGAGAAATTGTGATGTTCTCATTAAGAGACTCAGATTTGGACTAAAATGTAATTTAAGTAAAGCACAAAAATAAATTTTCTCAAAATTAAGTAAGTACTCACAGAAATATGTATGCAGCAATAGGTACAGGGTGTGTAGTATATTTACTTGTGTCGCATGTGACACCGTAAATATTAGAAAGAGACTGAAATATGATATTGAATAGCCGCGGGGAATCATTTCAAAAACTGGAATGTTTTTGCGAGCCTTGCAAAAGTTACCACAAAACATACAGCATAAATAGGGAGGTGTAGATGGTGCGGAATATATGATAAAAGACACCTCAGAACCTACCGTTCATGTTCGTAGCAAGATAGAAAATTCCATAAACTTTCAAAAGTAAATAACATTTGTCATGTGTAATTTTAAACCTCTTACTTTTGCACTGATTGCGACTTTTTTTTCAGTTTTTACTTCATGCAATAGCAACCTAACATTTCTAACACTGAGGGAAAAGTCATGATCTTAATAGCAAAGGTTTTTGGAAGACTATTAAATTCATTTGACACCATTTTCGGAGAAGAGACTTCAACTGCACTGCAGTGGAAGTAACAGAAGCGAATTTCAAGACAAGTGCTTGTTTGTTTGCCTTTTATCTGCAGAATGATTTTTTTTGCCTACAGCTGACAACCAAACGTTTAACGTTTTTGCTTTTAAAGTGCGGAATGAGCAGGAAATTTTGTTACTTGTTCACTCGAAGTTAGCCTCAGAATCATAAGTTTTAGGTGCCTGTTCGGGCTCCCTGTTTGAAATTTTGGTTGCCTGAGGGTAAATTGTAGGCACCTCTGGTGACTGGGCACTCATTAGGCAGCAGCCTTGTATCTAATGCTGATCATTTGGCTAATTTTGTAACTGTAAAATATGCTACCGCTTTAGTGTCCTAATAATGTAATGTTAATGTAACTGACCTGTACCTGCAATTCAGCTATAAGCTGCAAAAGGTGTTGATAAACAAGTCATTCTGTCATTCAGTCAGTCATTCAGTTCCTGCAAAACTGGTAGTTAGTTTGTGCTTAAATGATAATACTCAGTATCATCCAACCTAAATTGTCTTCAAATGGCAAAGAGCAACAGTCTGAAGCAGGAGTGAACATTTTTTGTTGTTTTAGGAGATGGCCATCACATACCATACAACTCCTATCAGCAGCAGCAGTTTGGATACCAGATGTACAACGGAACAACGTACTTTGCACCACCCCAGCAATATGGCAACACTCAGCCTTATAACAGTAGTTTTTACTACAACTCAGGAAACTACATGGCTGTACCCCTGGATGACGTAACTCTTAAAGAATATGTCAAAAATCAAATGTAAGATGTTTGATGTGTTTGCAATAATAATAGTTTTTTCGTTAATCAAACAGCGCAGTTTTTATAAGCACAAGCAAGAGCTCAAGAGCTGAACTGAACTTCTGAATTACTGAACTTGTAGCACAAATTTCTCATCCTAAAACTCAAATTTTTTCCTTTTGCTCCTATTAATGGCCTATCCACCAAGTAACCACTAGTTGAATGGTGGACTTGTAAAAAAAGATTTGACTATGTTTGCTTTTTTGGTTAGGGAGCAGAGCACATCTGTTCATAAGTATTTTAAAGACTCTGTGCTTATAAAGTGACTATCTAGTAACCAATATATTTCAGCCAAAGGTTTACAAATCATCTTCTTTCTTTTTGACTTCAGAGAATACTATTTTAGTGAGCAGAATCTTCAAAAAGACATCTTCCTGAGACGACAGGTAAATAAGGGTAATAGTAAAAATGTAAAGTTTAAAATACATGTAGTGTACAGCAACATTAAAGTGACCTTTTTGTCTAGTTTATTACAGGGCTGTCACTAAGATTTCCTTTAGCTGTTAGGGTTCTTATGAAACTATGGCGAAACTATGGCGAAACTATGGGGAACGTCTAAAACTCAATAGGTTTATTTGATGAAACAACAACTCTGTATTTACTGTATTAACTGGATGTTGCATTGTTTTTGTTCTACTAGATGGATAGTGAAGGTTACATTCCTATTGCACTCATTGCAAGCTTCTACAGAGTTCAGGCCCTTACACAGGATTACAATCTTATATTAGAGGTACAAGTATGCCCCACTCTGCCAGTACATTAAGCATGCCCCTGTCATATTTTGTCTTCTCTTTTTAAATGTCATGAAAATGATTCAAGCCCTCTTCAGTGTAGTTTTGTCACACTAACAGCTGTGATACAATTAAAACCTGCATGTAAGAACTTACATTTTTTGAAGTCTTCTAAAAAATTTAACTGGAACCCACATATAAGATTAGAACCTGCTGCTGAATTTGCTTGGCTAAACAGGTTCTTACAATTATTTTTGGGTATTAAAGAGAACATTTCTGCAAGCAGGTTTTTAAACCACTGGGTTCTTACATGCAGGTTTTTTACTGTATTTTGAATTTTTTTTTTACTGATAGGGAATAATGTTAAGTGTAATTTGTTATAGGCATTACAAGGCAGTGAGGTAGTGGAGCTTGATCCTACACACAATGCAATGAGGAAAAAGGAGAACCCTGTATTGTGGGTTATTCCAGCTGACCAGCCATTCACTGGTAAGAAGCAAGGGTCAATGATAAATTCTTTACTTTGTACTTTTTAAATTGAAATTTTGAAACATACATATTGTGACATCTGGAGGAGCATGATGTTTTAAGACTGAGTCGAGTAGCAAAATATTTCTTTCCTTCCATTTTTTGTCGGTTAGGTGTAAGATTTTTTTTTTTGTTTTCTTTGCAGTTGAGAATACTGCTGCTCACATCTATGAGACCACCCCTCAAGTGAAACAGCATCAAGTACAGGGTATGAACACAGACTTTTGACTTATACATCACTTACGTCTCTGCCGGATGCCCAGTCTTACTGTTTGGGAAATAGTTAATATTATTATTAAATAATGAACATTAATGTCAATAGACCTTGTGAGTGGGCATCTGTATAAATGCTGTACTTAAAAAGCTCAGTTTGGCAAAGATGCACTAGGTGTTGTTTGGTCTAAATATAGGTGTATGTTATGCTATAGTTAAAATCTGTTTTCAGGTTAAACCAGAATTTCCTTTGTCTTCTAATATTAATTAGGGCTAGGAAACAAAGGATATTTTGAATCAAACTAGGTTGAATACTGGTTAAACCTGAGAATTAATTTTACCCTACAACGCGCACACTTTATTTGAGTGTCACATAGATATTTATATCAAAGGGTAATTAGATACATTATTTTACAACTCTATACTCCTTATTTATTTTATTTTATTTTATTATTTTGCCACACCGAATAAATTACATGTAGAATATAAAAGATAATAAATAGTTAATTAATATTAAATTTAAAATGAGCATACAACTCGGAAGGAGTGACTGTGGCGGGGAAATCTCCAAGAAGCGGAGCTTATGAGGAATAGAGATTTTCCCCCACAGGCAATTTAAATACTAGGTGGCATTTGAAAATAAAGAAAAAAGATGTGTATTTTAAGTATATAAGTGTGTTTAGAGAAAAATATAGATGAAGGTGTTAAGGTATTAAGGTTGTATCTTGTCTGACCCTTAAAAATTATTGATTGATCATGTTATCTCTTTCATCAGAAACAGAAGTGTCATCTAATGCTGAACCAGCGAAGCCAGCAAATGTAATCAATGATTTGGTGAATCCTGGTGAATTGATAAAACAGGCACAAAAGGAATCTGTGTTAAATAACACTTTCAATAATAAGGCTGAAGAAGCAAAAGGTATGAATTGCTCCTGAACATATCCGACCAGACTAAGTGTCTCACGCTTGATCTATAATTACCTGATTATCTTTTAGTACACTTCATATGACTTAGCTGACCAGGTTAGGTGGGTTTTGTGTTGGTATTAGAAATGTCAGCCTACTTAAAAACTTGAATTTTTTTCCCTTGAGTTCTGAAAGTTCTCATACATTACTTATTCATAATCCAGAAATCGCTTATGATAATTAACCAGTTTACTCCAAAAGTTACCAAAATGAAACTGAAAAAAAATCCAAATTTCTTTTTTGTAAAATCATAAGAAGCAAATAGTTCTATAGGAAAGGTGCACCTAAGGGGTTTCAGTATTGAGTGCTAGCACAAGAGGATTTTGTCCACAGATTCAAAAGTTAGACCATGTAGGGATGGTCTTAGCATAAAAGGATCAAGTGGCTGAATACTTAGTTATAATACTGAACGTACCCTTTTACAAATTTACAGAAGAAGCGTAGTCAAAAAGTTGGAAAATTCTCATTCTCGGAAACTGAGAAAATTGCACCCCAATTTTCCAAGAACTTGTTTTATTCAGGTTGGCCTGCGTACTTCTTTGTCAACTAGGCAGAGCTGACACCAAGGGCCAGCAGAGGCCAGGGATTTGCCCCGGCTTTTATGAGCAGGATTCCTGGCTACCGACTTAAAAAAGTGAAAACAGTACCAAAGGAATGTCGTAGCTGTTCAGCTTACTGCCCACTAATTGCATATATTGGGCTATTTGAAATCTTAGTGACAGCCCTGCTCACAGAGCCTTTCTTTCACTTGCTCGATTTTGGCACACTCGAGAAAGACTCTGCATGAATCAAGTAACATTTGCAGCGTGTTGCTAGGATATACATGTACTGTAGAACCCAGGGCTAATAACTGTCTGCTTGCTACAGTAATCTCAGTTATGACTAGTGGTTTAGATCAATAAACGGATGCTCACACTCAAAAAAACCAATTTGATGCGGCAGAACAAGATTGACTGGTACTGAAGTTTGGGCTGCGGCGACCTCAAAGGTTTGACGTGATTCATGCAGAGCCTCCTTTTCTCATCCTCACTCAAGAAGGAAAAGGGAGGTGGCTCTGCTCCGTGCAGGGTGAGCCCTGCCTGCCACGCTGTCAGGCCAGTTTCTTACTTCAGAAAATTGAAATTTGAAAAATTTGTAGGTGCAAAAAAGCCAGATGTTGACTCGTGGACAGAAGTAAAAAGAAGAAAACCATCATCTACAAAAACAGATGCCAGTAATAAGGTAAGCATGTGAAAATAAGTACATTATCTTGAGCTAGGAGGAATGCCTGTCCCTTGCGGCAGAATCAAGTCAAGGTAAGAGTTGTTGTGGAACCAAGAGTGATGGAAAAAAATGAAGTGGCCTGAACTGGTGTGTGTTCCCATCAACTCAATTCCATCACACAAAAGTTATGCCAAACAGTTCTAATATGAAGAGCTTTTTGATAGGATAGCAACGTTTTGGGATGTAAGTAAGTCTTCATGCAGAAACCATCTTGAATCAAAATTACATTTTTTATGATAAAATGAGAATAACATATTGTAATACATCTGTAATAGTTGTAATGTTTAGTGTACAAAGAATAAAAAGACAATGCAACTGCATATACTTGGACAAAAGCTTTTTAATTCCATCTTGTGGGATGAAACTGTTTTTGTCAGGGTTCAACATCATCTTGAAAACCCTTGAAAACTTGTGAATTTAAGGAGTCAAATATACTTGAAGTACTTGAAAAGAAAAGTACTTTAAATTGGTTAAAGCACATGTACACTATAAAAGCTTTAAAATAAACCATGTTTTAAAGCGGAGGGCAAAATAAGGCAAACAATTTGGTAATAAATTATATTCATTATGAAAAAGTGGTTCATTTCAATGAAGGGTTCAGAAAAGTCTTTGAATAGCCCTTTAGCCCTTTGGCCTGCAAAAATGTACGAACCCGGTCTTGTATGTTGGTTCCTGAGGGAGGAAATGGTCAATTAGTGTTTGATTCTCAACTCAATGTTTATATTTCATCAGACAAGTGGCTTCTCAAATGATCAGGAAGAACTTGATTTCAAGTTTGACGAGGAACTAGAAAACCAAGGAAAACAACCAACAATATGTTCCTCAGATTGGTATGTTTTGTAACATCTTTTGGCTTATGTTTGAAACCTGTCTTGGAACATTACAGCTCAAAGATACCCTGAATACCTCCAGTGCACACACAAACTGTTCACATATTTTTGGGTATGTGCACATAGATGTACTGTTAGTGTCTAATAATGGATAGTTCTTAATCATTTGAGTAACTGGTAAGGTTGTTAATGGGTAAGTCTCCATAAGATTTTTTTTTTAAACAGACTGTCTATATGAACATAGTCAAGGACTGCCACACATGAAATTTAACTTTGTTTTGTTCCTGTGATGGCTACATGCAACATTAAGGTGCATGCATTATTGCAGTCAGGCTTCCAAATGCCCATGAAAAAGATTCAAACCAAGTTTTTTCCATTTCTATTCTGGATACAAGCAAAATATGCTAAAATGTGTGCTAAATTGTAGGGATGATGATTCAGATGATGAAATTGATGACCAGGATATACATAAAATCATGATTGTCACTCAAACTCCACCTCCCGTCAAAAAACATGACCGGACAGGAAACTATGTCACCAGAGTTAAAATGACCCAGGAACTTTCCAAAGCAATAAATGATGGTCTTTACTACTATGAACAGGTATGGAAAATCTGTTTTTCTCTAAATGGTAATTGAGTGGTTATGTTTCCCACAAGAGATGCAACAGAAATTTTAGTAGGTGCCAGTTGTGACTTGCCTGTTGAGGGTACCAAGGTGAAAGTGGTGGCTTTAACTCAGTGTAATAACAGTCAACTTTTATGGTGTGATATGCTTTCTTCATGCAAATTCTACTGTTGCCATTTCCTACTCTCTCTTCTCAGACTAGTCGAAAGTGTTTAACATCTGTAGGCATGAGTTTTGTGATCTTATGTTTTGTGGGTCTGGAATGTGCAAGGTTTTATTTTTTATTTTTTTTTAGGATCTTTGGGATGATAGTGATGACAGTTATCTCAACAGAAAGGTAAGTAAAAACACTACATCTTTGATGAGGTATTGACTTTGCTCTCTCTTTTTTTAAGATATTCAATACGATTGTGTTCTTTGTTGTTTGCAGATTGTTCTTTCATCATCATGGAAACGTGTTGAGATTGTCAGTCAGGACAAATTTAATTACCAGCGTGATGCCCTTGACCCACCCAGGGCTCGTTCTTTTACAGAAGCTGAATTCCCTCCCCCCAGTCCTCCCATCACGGTTCCCCACACCACATTATCACCATCAGCAGAAGTATTCCGTCCACGAGCTCACACAGCACCATCAGAACAGTTGTCTAGATCTCTCCCCGCCACAGTCCCTGAACTTCCTACCACTCTTGAGCATGTGACACCTCGCTATGGCTCACGCACTCCGAAGCGAAAAGATGTCAAAGTTGCACCAAGGTTCTTCCCTGCATTCAGTAAAGAGAATGTCAGTGATCAAGGTCCGAAGAAAAGAAAGACAAAGTACAGTCAGAACCCCCCAGTGGAACATCATGTTGGTTGGGTTATGGGTAACAGAGAGTACCCTCCACCTAGAAGGTACATAATGCCATAAAAAAGCTCTAATCCTTTTTTTTTTTTTTTTCTTAAATTGCTAGTAGTAGTAAAATAGCTTTAATCCTAATGTCCTTTTTGTGTGAATGGCAGTCAAACTTTGTACCCTTAGGGCGATATCCATTTAGTTAGAACTCGCCAGTCAGACCAGCCCAGTTGTTAAGAGAAGTCCATTATTGCTCCGGAGCGACCGAAGGGAGCGAGCAGCAACATAATCAGGATTTAAAGGAAATATATAAGGGGCGACTAATTCTCGAATTCATCACTTTTTACCACAATGCATTGCATTTAACCACACTTTTTACCACAATGCATTGCATTTAACCAGAGTGCATTGTGCCACGAACAACTCAAGTAAAAACACGGGGAAGTTCGGTGGGTGAGAGAGTGCATCGTTCGCTGCTCAGACTTAGGAGTTTTCTTTGTGGCAAATTTTCTACAGCACGGTTAGAGGTCTTACCAAATTTTAAGACACGCAGGAGTCTTTCAGATGAGTACGATGGTTAATTTCAATTCAAGAGCCTTTGACTCGTCCAGGTGTTAAACCTGACGGCAAACCTGACGAGAAGATGAGCATTAACTGCTCTTCGAGTCCGCAACACGGCGGATATACAAATTCCAGCTTGCTAGAAGGTGATGTGAAAGTGAGAAAATGTCTTCCAATGCTATTCTTAAAGAAACTGTATGAGCCGAAAATGGATGTGATTTTGACCATTCGCTTCAAAATAACAGCGGAAATCGAGATAACAAAACATACGTTTTGTGTCCTACTTTGCAGACGAGGACGTGTATCGGCGTTTTGAAAAGCATAATTATGTTCTTTAATTCATTCATTGCCATGGAATATGCGTTTACGTTGTTTTTTCACTGTTAATAGCTCGGTTAATGCGGCTGGCGATCATCTTGCCGGCGGAAGTTTCATGGAAAAGGAATAAAATGAAAGATTTTTCCAATAGATTACAGAGTCAGCCTCTGTGGTGTAGTGGTTAGGTGTAGTCGCGTGGAGCCGAAGGTGCAGGGTTCGAGTCCTTCCGAATTATTTATTTATTATGTCTTTTTTTTTTCGTTTTTTATGTTGTTGTTTTCTATAAATATATGGCTAAATAACTGTTAGTTAATGAAGTGCAACAAACAGCAAGGAAAGTATTGCGTTTCCAGAGAAAATATCGTGCACTGCATATTAAATATATGGATAAACAATCTGAATTTCTATTATTTCCTACAATTTACTGTGGGAAAACCAGAGTTGATAACCACTTGATCATTTTCTAAACAACTTTCCCACGAGTTCTTTGTATAGACTGATAGTAATTATTCTAGTACTTTTCAACATGTAAATAGGACATTCAATGTCATTTTCGATTCTTTTAAATCCCACTGCCTAACTAATGCCAGTATCAACAGAATGTGCCGCAGCATTACTATCCTTTAGATACCCTAGTTAATTACTGCTATTTATGCTAGGCAGTGGTGCCTTTAAGGAAAAATTTCGAGAAAAGACTGAAATTACAAAATGACCAGTCTGGCTGGCCTTTTCTGACTTTTGGCATGCGTCCTTAGCCTTGACTTAATTACCACACCAATAAAATTTTATTCGTAGTGTTATTCTAACGTTTGGGTGCACAAATGAGACCTTAGATGTGACATTTCAAATGAAATTATTGAAAACCTCTTTAGGTTTTTTTCGTAGTCAATAAAGTGCATCGCAGTGGTATGTTCAGTCACAAGCACATTAATTTTTTGTGAACATAAAGCAAAAGATTGTGCGTGACCAAGGAGCTCCCAACATTAACTTTTGCAGAGTAGTTTTCACCTTTGAGTTTTGGCATCTTTTATAACCAGTCTACTGAATATGGTTTATTAATTTGAAGACAGTGTTACAACTTCTTCCTTATGATGTATTTACACTTGTTATTGTTCTCTAGTTTTCTATTATTCCATTCATTCCTTGCATCTGCCAACATTAATTTGTTATATTAACGTGCTGTGCTTTTTCTTGTAGTCCAAGTTATAGTATCTCTGAGGGTGTACCCCCAGGGGTGCATGTTGGTAGTTATGGTTCAACGCCACAACCAATCCCACGCTTCCAGCATCCCTCTCATGAACTTCTTCAGGAAAACGGTTTTACTCAGCAACTGTACCATAAATATCACTCCAAGTGTCTAAAAGGTATCTCCAAGTAAATAGCATTTTAATAGTGCCATATGTATATATGAGTAATGAGTTATATAAAGAAAAAAAGTTATAAAGGCTTGTTTTGTGAAAGGGGACTCACCTAAACAAAGAAGTCACTTTTTTCAATTTTTAGGGCTAGAAACCTGAATACTTTTGTGGTTAAAACCATATTAATTTTGTTGGTTCTTTTTCATTTTTAATGTTTTGGTTTAGAAACCTTAATTCCTGTGCTGTATATAATGTTTTATTTTGTTTCCTACAGAGAGAAAGAAGGTAGGAATTGGCCAATCACAGGAAATGAACACAATGTTTAGATTCTGGTCATTCTTTCTCCGGTCCCACTTTAATAGGTAAGTTCATTTTGTTGCAGAAAGACTTTTTCAAGAAAGATACAAACTGTCTTAAAAGAATCTTGAAATTTGAAGTTATATTATTTTATAATGTTATGAGGAGCTGGTGCTGAAGTGTTAGTTTTTGAATCTCCGTTGCTGCAAAGGTACGTGCATGTAGCACATCAACTCAAGTGTCTGCCTGTGTAGCTGGTGGTTTTGTTATGGAAAGGTGCAATTGAGCAGTGAGAATAATTGGGCAGCACTGCTCATTCTTTTGGCTTTGATGCTCATTTTTGTGTCTGTGCTGCCTGTTCTACATCTCTCTCTGACAAAACTACCTGTTACGTTGGCTGCTGAAATGATAATGGCAGATTTTCATATTTCACTGCTGCTCAACGCCTTGCCTTTGAAAAGGTGCAGCATGATATTTCCATGTTAAACTCATCACCAGTAGATGAGAGCTTTGGGTGCCGGTGTCTGCAAAGTTAGTGGAGCCAGGCAGTGCTCTAGCACAAGGAAGGAGGTATCCATGGCAACCCTGTGAATGGCGCCCCCCAGGCATAGTCACACTGAACTGTTCAGTGGAATACTTACCAACCAGTACTTACCTGGCCCTGAACTAAAGAGGGAGGGAGGGGTAAAAACACAGCACAAAAATGTCAAGCAAGCAACAAGAATTTAGTGAAGGCACTTTGCGAAGAACTGCAAGGAAGCAAGGTGCCCCTGCTAAAGGCATTTGGTCACCCCTAGCATAGTTGGGAAAACTGTTGACCAGCATTGCTTTGAGGTTAACTTTGCCTAAATTGCATTTAGCAGCGTGTAATCTAACCCCTTCGTGTTTTTGGTAGCGATCCGGTAGCTGAAAACTTTGTATCAAGTTTCAGTAAACCCTTTTTCTTTTCCACTAAGCAGAATTTTCTTGTCACGTTGTGTTCTGCCTTGGTTTGGGATTGCCTGTTGTCCCATTCCCTTAAGAATTGAATTGATGGTGGAAGACGTTTAGTGTCTCAATTATCAGCACCCCCTGATTACATGGTTTTCATTCAGTTTGTATTTGAAGGATCTAATAGTGACTTTGTTGTTGTTTATTTTTTCTTCTTGCCAGGAAAATGTATGAAGAGTTTAAAACATTAGCAGTAGAAGATGCTCTGGCTGGTTACAGGTTAGACCTATTCATTTCCGGACTAAAAAGCTAAACGTGCTTTGAAAATTCATTTAATAATGTTAATACTAAAACTAATATTCTTTCTATTCTATTCCCAGGTATGGCCTAGAATGTCTCTTCAGGTTCTACAGTTATGGTCTTGAAAAGAAGTTTAAAGCTGACCTATTCAAGGACTTTCAGGCTGAGACTATCCGTGATCATGACTTAGGTACGTTGGGTGCTATGTGTTTAAGTGGTTATCACAGTTGTTTGAAATCAAACCATCAATGACACCTTGATTTCCCCCTGGTGATATCAGCTGGTTCATCTCATTGGCTAGAAGAGTATGTTCATCTTTGACCATTGTAGAGAGTTTTAAGAGATTTTCAGGAGTTTGACTATGTACAGTACCGTTTGAAAGTAAGTTGACACTCCATTCTCAATCCTCGCAGCAAGAATTAAGAGTTGAGTCGAGAACCCAATTCTCCATGGTTGAATCTCGATTCCAGATATACCATTCCTGCGAGACTCATCAAACTGGGATGGTTTTTGTTGAGTTGCAAGAAATTGGCATTCTACTCTTGATATTTGATTGCTGCACGAATCTACAGCCTTCATTCAAGTTTTGAGTAATCGTTTTACTTCTCTTAAGTTAGAAAAAAACTATCTATTCTATTAAATAACAAACTCTACTCAATTAAGAATTCCTAAGCTTTTTACAGAAGATTATTGCACTCCTTGTGAACCAACTACCTTGACCAGATGTTATTATGGTTTAATAACTTATTTATTTTTGTATTTTGTTGCTGTTTCTTTCTCAGGTAATCTTTACGGTCTAGAGAAGTTCTGGGCATTCCTCAAATATTACAAAGTAAGTGATTTCTATAGTTTGTTTGTCATAAGTGCGTGTTTACGTTGAAGCCCTGCATTAAAATACTAAGTTATGCTGTAGTTCTTGTTGAGCTTGATCAATGCTTAACAATGCTTTGAAAGTCGCCTGTAGGTTTGGTGGAGCTTTCAATGTTACTCCAACATTGTGAAATAAGATCCCNAATAAATTATTTATTTTTGTATTTTGTTGCTGTTTCTTTCTCAGGTAATCTTTACGGTCTAGAGAAGTTCTGGGCATTCCTCAAATATTACAAAGTAAGTGATTTCTATAGTTTGTTTGTCATAAGTGCGTGTTTACGTTGAAGCCCTGCATTAAAATACTAAGTTATGGTGTAGTTCTTGTTGAGCTTGATCAATGCTTAACAATGCTTTGAAAGTCGCCTGTAGGTTTGATGGAACTTTCAATGTTACTCCAACACTGTGAAATAAGATCCCTGACACCTTTTTTACGAACTTCATTTGAAACAATGAAGTATTAAAAATTTAGTTTCAGTGTAATCATCGTGATGTAGGTGTCGTCTCATTCATCCCAATAAACGAGGCGATGGGAAGAAAATCTGGGGTTAATAGATGTTTGTTTGTCTTAAAACTTAAAATTTAGTTTTGTTTGTTTGTGTGTTTGCTTGTTTGTTTTAGGGGAAAACAAGGTTTGAAGTTGAACCAGACCTCAAGAAGCGGCTTGCTAAGTACAAGACGATTGATGACTTCAGGAATGATGTAAGTGAACAAAATATGAAAATCTTTGATCTCTTATTCAACAATGTTGCGTTGCACGGGACTTCAGGGGAATTTGCTCCTTTGTCTTACATAAATTATGCATTCATAGAGCAATTTTCGTATGACCTTGAAATGAAAACGTGCGAACAAAACAGAAACAAGAAACGAAAGGAAGTAGGGCGATTTGATTGGCTTATCGAACGAATACAAACGCGTGTGGCTTTTGGTTGGTTTAGGGAACGCTCGGGTGAAAAAACTTCATGGCCGAGAACTTTCTAGAAATCAATCGATACTTCGCTTTGACATCATACTGTAACACGATTGGCCAATCGAACAATGCCCTCTCCATATTAGGGTTTTCTTTGGCGGGAAAACGAAGACTCCATGTTTTGGTCTTTTTATCCATTGGCTGATAAAACAAATAACGAATACTTACAGCAGCCATTTTTCAAGGTCGTACGAAAATCGCTCTACTGCACGTGAATAAGACGAAATTTGAACGAAAAAGTTCTCTGGAGTATTATCACATGACCTACATTGGGAAAACAAAAGATACAAGCTAAAGAGGTTTATTATTAGATTTCAGAATGATAAAGCAACTGTGATTGTCTTTATTTTTGTCGTAGCCAATGAATCAGTTTCCTGTCGACCCGCACAGTAACAAACCACGATCCAGACACAGCTCACACAGCGACAAACACGATCGTCATCCTCATGAGAAGGACGAACAAAAAGAAACTAAACCAGAGCATACTCAGGGGAAGGGTGAACAGAAAGAAAGCATCCAAGATAACCAGGCTGCAGCCAAGGATGATAGAAAGACAGGAAAAAGTGAACACCCAACTCCTGGCACAACAGCTGGCAAGGATGAACAGAAAGAAACTAAACATGACCATCCTCAGAACAAGGAGGAACAGAAAGGAACCAGACATTATAAAGGCAAGGAGGATCACAAGGGAACTAAGCATGAGCATCATTCTAAAGGCAAGCACGAGGAGCATAAGGCAAACAAGACCGATAAGAAGAGTTACAAGAGTGGTGAAAGCAGTAATGCAAGGAAAAAGAGCTCAGAACATAAGGAGGAAAAGGTTAGTACAGTAGCGGCAAAGGACAAAACTGTCGCTACAAGTGGGAAACAAAGCAAAACTAAACCAGCTGCAGAATCCACTTCTGACAAAGACACTTTGAATCAAGCTGTTTCCGTCACTGCTTCTTCTGTGTCCTTATCCCAGGAAAAAACAGAAGTCGACAACAGCTCAAGAGACAAACAGGATGCTGCTGAGGTTGCATCAGTTTCTGAAAAATCGAACACGTAAGAATTGGCAGCCGTCATGTGACGGTAACAGAACATTGGATTTTAGATATGATCAAAAACAAAAAATTTAAAATTGAAGAAAACCACCAAAAAAAATTTAAAAGATATCCAGCAGAACGTCAATGAAAAACCCTTTGCTGTCTTTTGAAAGTGGCATTGCATCTGGAAGGATAAGAAAACTTCTGCTGCCAACCGTGGCAAAACATTGTAATGCACTTGGAACGTCTCCTGCACTGTCTGTCGTCGGTCCACACCTCTGTAGAGTGTGATGGTAGTCTTGATCGCAGAACTGCGCTGTCAAAGCTTTGCAGTTATTCCACTAAGGATGCTCGTATAATTTGATCCAGAATACATCAGTATGACAAAAAAACAAAACAAAAACTCAACCGCAACGGTATATTTAACTGAAATTTGCACTGAAGGGTATCTCTAATATTGGTATCATCTATCATCAATCATCGCATTCCGCTTCACTTTTGTATTCATTGGTTATCAGCCGCTGTCATGGAGTAGCATCTAGGATCTGTTACCTTCAAAACGAGTTCAAATCATTTTACCCGTCAAGTCTTGTTAGGCGTTCATCACTGGACGTCTCAGTTCACTAGACCACAAATGTCGTGATTATTCCAGAAAGAATGGCCAGATGATGAGACTGAGGGAACACTTTAATGCTTATACCTTGAGTTGCATCAGTGGAAACGATATTCATACAGGACTTTCCTCAGTGTGCTCGTAAAGCTAGGATGGTATTAACTATTTTTATCAATAATATGACGAGTTGATTTTACAGCATTATTTTTTTTGAGTTGGCCTCAGAGAGATTTATTGAAATTATATGGTGTGAAATTACACGTAATATCAATATTAGTCACTATGATGTTTTACTTCAACATAACGAAATCTTACAGGATATTTTAGTAATTCATGCTGATGTTGCCATAGTGATGGTTGCTGGGTACCATCCAAAACTGACAAATAATCCAAAGATTGCCCGAGCAAGATCTGGGTTTCATAGCAAGAATTTTGTGTGTTGAGACTATTAGAGACCTGTAGATTCAAGGGCGAGGACGACTACGAGTACGAGATTTGACTTTTAAGTTTTTTCGCGTATTCTCAAAATATAGACTCCCCGGAAAGCTTCATTTTACCATTTTCACTGGAAAAGTTAGCACTGTTACCTTTAGTGAAGGAGGTTACACCCTCTCCCGATCGCCAAGTGATAAAACTTCTAACATTTGATAACTTGCTTTCGCCACTTGACATTCTCTCCAAGACTCGTAGTAGAGTAATGATGGCTGCCACATTTTCCCGCAAACTGGTGCTGGTTCACGTGTGAGCAGTACTCAGTATTGAGAAAATCTCGTACTCTTAGTCGTACTCGTCTCAGAATCTAAAGCTCTCTATTTGCAATCGAAGGCTGTTTTATTGTGATTGTAGTCACAAAATGGTACCCTATTTATGTATTTGAGCAGTTGCTCTTGATCTAGGTGTACATAAAGATTGGTAACTTATAACTTAATGAAATCTCTTCCACAAAAATTAGGGAGCTTAAGCAATCACCCTGCACCCTGTCAGCAGAGCTTTTCTTTTAGCGTAAGCGGCCAAGACTCTACATGAATCGAGTAAGATCTTTGTTGAGCATGCGCTGCGTGTTGCTAGGCGACATGTTCGAACCCAGGCCTAATCGCCTTGCGCTTGGTATATCAGGCTGCGTTGGGCTCAGTTATGTGCTTCCTTAAGGTGATCGAGGAGGAGTAAAGGTGATGTTACACGAGAGGATTCGCAGCAACGATTTTTAGCGCAAAACAGCATTGCAACATTGTTGCGACATTGTTTCGAATAGTTACAACGTTGTTCTAACATTGCAACGCTGTGTTGCGCTAAAACTCGTTGTTGTGAATCGTTTCGTGTAACATCACCTTTACTCCTCCTAGCAAGAAGAAGTCAAAAAGAGGCTCTGGTGGCCGGGTGTCACGACGGCGACGGTAGTAAAACCGTCACTAGAACATGAATTTGTACTTAATCGCGTTTGTTTGACCTCCCTTAGTTTGTAATTAATGTGCGCCAATCAGTTTCCTGGAGGTAAATTCTTAAGGACTGTATCGAATAGTTAATTGTTAATTACTTATGATTTATTGAAGTTCTCGTTGCCGCCTTTGTCCTGGTTTCTTACGCTCCTTACTAATTGACATTCAAGAACAAAATATCCGAGCTTTGGTGGCTCGCAGTTTATATATATATATTAATGTTATCAAACTTTGGGTGTACCGTAATATTTGTATAATAGGGTGAACCATTATAAGTTGTATTTTAGGTGTGTCAACCCCCTAACCTCCACAAATGCACCGTGGGTTTTGGCTCGATAACCAGCCGCTGTTCGACAAATGCGTCCGCAGTCCTTTTGTTCAAGACAATCGTTGACCAGCCATCGAAACGGTGCAACCCTGCCTTGGCGTACAGTACTGAGTATTGCATAAATGTGGCTATAGATAACAAAGTTAAATATGGGTTGCTAATCAAGAGTATTAAACATGTAAGATTATTGAAGGACAGTTGAATTAGAAATAGTTAATGAAAAAATGTATGGTTGGGAGAGTTATTGCCATTTGTCAAAAATGCCTTGTTTTCATCCAGTTCACCAGTGTTGTTACGAAACACGTCGGTGAAAAGAACCTCTTTTGAGGGTCTCCAAAATGCTTTGAAGCTCGGGATTCGGGATTTTAAAGAAAATTCGGGGCGAGATGGAGATTGAAATTATGCACGGGAGGTGGGATACCTAAAATAACCCTCGGGATTACGGGATTGAAGAACCCTATTGGGAACACTCTCTTGTGACTAGTTGTGCGCTTTCCGCGTGGAAGTTAGCAGAACATCTTGTAAGTTTTTCAATGGAAAGTGGACAAATCATCTGATGCTCATCTTGGAATACTTGGAAGGATCTACCGAACCCGGAACCGTCGCTGTCGTTTCGTTTTCAAGTGGACGGTATAATAGATTCAGATAGTTATGAAATAGTTAACGAGGATATTTTGGAAAATGGTGGTATGCTCTCTCGGCAGTTGTAAGGGTGCGCTCAGGCACAAATGGTTACCAAATATGCAGTCATCTCTTGGGGTGTCATTTACACATTTAGCTCGTTCGTTTAATTCACTGGTCTTCATTTTAAGGGTACCATTGTGTATTAGTAGTAGTTGTACAAAGTTAATGAACCAAAAAAAAAAATCAAATAAATTATTTTAAAACAACAAATAATAGCCTCTTAAATACAGTTAGCTAAGGTTTGTAAGAGGGTAGATCACCAAATCGTTGGATCGTTTTTGCTCGTTTAAAGTTTTCATTTGTTTACTCAATGGTTAAACTTACTACAAGTCGACCTCATAAGTTCTTAGAGGTGCGTTAAGCGAGCTTTACAATAAAGGACTTTTACAGGAGCCTATGACGATGATGATGGACTCCTGACGTTTACAAACTCAAGCAAGAGTCCTCTTTTCTCGTGGTCCCTTGGAACTCTCTCATACGTTCCGCTGCGCAAAGTGATTGCAGGCGCAAAAACCTAAAGATTCTTACCAAACATTTTGCGCCCGCACTCACTCTCGCCATGCCATGCCCCTTTGAGCTTCTGAGGATAGATCCCTTGAAAGGTCATGGAATTGTATGTGCTAACTGAATCGTTTATCTGCGAGAAAACTCCGAGCTATAATAGGAAAATGAATAGGAGCCTTGGGGAAGGAACGAAACTTACCTCGCACACTCCGCCGCTCATGTTTGGATGTTTCTTGCAGTTGCCGAGAAACTATTGTTGGTTTGCATGGTTGTGCTTGTGGTGCGGGTATAGTTCAGTGTTTTTTTCAATCTTTTGAATTACGTCATTGGGTCATTGCAACTTCCGTAACACCAGGAAACATATTTCTTTGCTTTTTTTTCACCTTACACTCGCGCTTCTCCCGCTTGGCTAACAGAAAATCTCGGATTCAGTAAGGTCGAATGCCTTATTTAACCTCACAGAAGACCAGTTCACTCGCGACATTGTTTCGGCATCAAAGAGCTTCTAATAGTCGATCAATTAAGAGCAGTTGCAGCTAAATAGCTCTTTCTAAACGGAAAAGGTTTTTCCTAGCCGAGGGTACATATACGAGTTATATATTTGTACTTTTCAAGGATTTTTAACAGGAGAATCAACATAAGACCTGGGGAGACTTTAAGCAGAAGCTGCAAAGATGCTTCATGGAAACACGCAACGCCTTCTCAGTTAATAAACCAACAGCGTTCATTTTTCGACGGAAACGACCGACGGAAGCTATTCACCAGCAGCACCATTCTAAACCTCTTATTGCATCTGCACTACCTATTGTTTTCAGAGATAGCGGCATTGTTATGTCACTAGCCCTATCGTTTTCCCAGCCAATCACAGACCTTGTTTGGAGTCGGTGCAGGTTGACCCGACGGAAGGTAATTTCTAACTGGGCGTGCCCTATAAGCAGCCTCGTAGTAAGATTTTTCGTGGCTAGCTGAAGATGGGTCTGTGTAGTACAATTGAAACAAGAGGAAAGTTAATAGAGACCTTAAGATCGAGGATTTTGGGAAGTTCCCGCAAACCGCAAACGTCAAGAAATCACGTGACTAGTGCTTTGCCGTCAGATTTGCGGTTTGAGGTTAGAGCACGCTTTGGAGGGAAGTGATTTTCCGCAGGGATTTTTGCACCGTAAAACATCACAGTCTCACGTTTGATAGGATATGCTACTTTTTTGAACACTTTTGCTTCCTAATTCTCGAATTTATTTTCATCGAAATGTAATTATGAAGACGATTTCTCGGCTAAAATAGAAGTCAACAATGAATCAAAACAAATATAGAAGCTGCTTTCTACCACCCGCGAACCTAAGATCCAAATATGGGCAGACGGCCAATGTGATACAGCTAACCGAAAACCGCCGTGTGCGGCGTAAGATGGCCAAACCTCGAGCTTAAGGTCTCTAATAAGGTAAAGAACCCTGACAACACCGATTGCGGAAAATAGACATTTTTATTTGGAGGAATTAACAAACTACATTTTTGCCCAAAATCACGGAAAGGATGCGATCAATTAAGTGCTATCGTGTAATGACGGCCTGAAAATAGCATTTCGTTCCGTGAAAAGCTAAAACGCCAAAGAACCCTAGCTGCGAAAAATGGACCTTGAATTGTTAAAACAACGTTGGGGAATATTTACTTTAGTTTGATTTTATTTGGACGAATCGACAATTTGTTGTATCAACTAGAAGAAAAGGACACAAAAACAAAGCTGATATCCTTATCACGTTAATCAACCTGGCTGCAACAAATGGATCGCAAAACAACAAAAACTCCTCACGAGGAGAAAGAAAGGCAATTTAACCAGAAAGTCTACTTGACTGTCTTAAGGCTTCAACTTTTATTGTTTTGCCATACACACAAAATATACATATAAAATTTTAAAAAAAGATGAGGCAAGGGAGACCACCTTTTAAATTATGTTCTCAAACTCATTAATAATTCATTAAGAAAATACAAAGGAAATTAATGTTTAATGAGTGTTTGGAAATCGGATGAAACACTGCTTAGTATTTGCATCCTTAATTTCTCCTTCAAAAATGAT